CAAATTCCCCAGGAATAAAAAAAAAAAAAAAAAAAAAAAAAAACAAAACAAAAAGCTTAGTATTACAATGAATTTCTACAAAAATGGGCTATTGATGGATAATAAAGACACTTGGTAAGAGCTTTGAGAAAGGGCACTTGAAGTCACCTCAGAGACACATCCTGTGTTACTGGTATGACCTGTGATCTCATCTTTTATTTTCCTCTCCAGTGCCTATGGGGGGGTCCTCGTGTTTATTCTGGTTTATGCCTTTGTCTGCTTTCCTTAAGTTCCACAAAAGCAAGGATCTTCTCAGTCTGTGTCCCTGCCTGACTTTGCTGAAAAGAATAGAGTGACACCACTTTAAAGAAGCTGAGAATCGAGATTGACTTGCCAACGTCACGAAATGACCTGGGTTTTTGAGCGTCTGGTATGTATGTTTATTCATTACGTCCCCACAAATATTTACTTTCGACCAATCAGGCCCTAGGTATTTCATAGTAAAGCAAAAAACCAGACGCAACCTCTGAGCTTTAGTTGTGACTTTTTTTTTTTTTTTTTAAATAAGCTCTATGAAACTGGGTGGCTCATTCGGTTAGCTTCAGACTTCATCCGAATTAGGTGATCCTCCGTTAAGTTCAGCAGCCTAAAGCTCATCTTCATTCGGAAGGCGTGGGGCCTGCTTGGGGATTCTGTGTCTCCCCCTCTCTGTGCCTCCCCTGATTGTTGCGTCTTTCTCTAAGATAATGTATATAAATATATATATATATATATATATATATAATTGAGGTATGTAAGCTCTAGGCCCAAAGAGGGGCTCAAACTCTTGACCCAAGTTAAAAAGTCCCAGGCTCTACCAACTGAGCCAGCCAGACGCCCCTAGCCTCTGAGTTTTTTTGTTGTTTTAATTTTTTTTTAATGTTTATTTTGAGAGAGAGAACAAGCCAGGGAGGGGCAGAGAGAGAGAGAAATTCTAAGCAGGCTCTACACTGTCAGTGCAGAGCCTGATGTGGGGCTCGAACTCACGAACTGTGAGATCATGAGCTGAAAACAAGAGTAGAATGTTTAACTGACTGAGGCACCCAAGTGCCCCTAGCCTCTGAGCTTTTAAAAGTTTCCAGTCTGAATGTTACTCAGGAGGGTGCTAGCCAAGATTATCTGGGTCAGATTAAGCCTTGACTGCAAAAGGGCAGAGAATAGTGAAAAACAAGTTTCTCTCCAGCAGGAAAAATAGCTTTGAAGACTTCAACATGGGTTTTTAAGCAATTATTTTAACATGGGAGTGATCTCTTTATTGCAGGTAGAATATGTGAGTCCCCTCTCCAAAAACAAAACAAAAAGTATGACTTCAAGGCCTAAGCTTTCCAAACGTATGACAAGTTTCCTGAGCTAAAAACTGGTGTTGGGAGGTCTTGGCTGCTTTAGGCACTTCACAAGCTCAAGGGAGAGAAGACTACAAAACTAAGTTATAATACAGTGTGCTTTGTGCTAAGATAAATTCTCCTATCTATCCACAGGGAAGGAGGACTCAGATCAGGAAAGGGCTTCTAATCCTGCCTTGAATCGGGGCAAAGAAGGCTTCCTGGGAGAGTAAGAACTGGAGGACTAGTTTGGCAAGCAGGCTGTTCCGGACAGCATGTGCAAAGACTCAGAGTAAATATCACCAACTCCAGTAATGCCCACCTGTTTCCCTTCTGCGATGCTGAGACCTCAGGATGAACCAAGGCTCAGAGAGGACACTAGGTTATAAGGCCTGAAACACTGGGATTTATGCATGGCTCTGTATATTTCACAAGTTTCAAAAATAAATAACCAAGGGCAATGCGTGGTTCTAGAATGGATACTGGATCAGAAAATATATTTCTGCAAGATCCCTTCCACGGGACTCTGGGGTGCCAGATCCCAAGGCCACCCCCGTCAATTCTCCCTAACAAGGAGCAAGGGGACCCTAACATGATCGAGGGGTGGGGGGGTGGGGGTGGTGATGAACACAACTTGAACACAAGAGGTTGTTGCATCATCAGCCCAGCACCCGGGGGATTATTGCCCTGCTCTTCCTTAAGACTTTAATACATGAATAAATATCGGATGTCACCATCACTACCAGCACCCAGGCATTAACACTGCGTTGACTAGTGGCTTTTGTTATCACAAAGCCATCCCGTACGCACGAGGGCTTACTACATGCCAGGCACCAGACAAAGCTCTTTACCCAGATCATGCCCTTGAACACTCACAGCAGCCCTAGGAAGTGGGCAGGATTTATGCTCCTTACCTGCTAAAGATGTTATCTTCCTGGATAGAGCTCCAGACAACTGGAAGACTGTTCCAGAAAAGGCCTACAGGTAACACGAGGTCCAACCCCTTCCCCCGGATCAGAATGTTTGTCGCATTTTCCCCCTTGCCGTCAGGCCAGGGATCATGGAGACACCAACCTAGCCCCCCATCTCGTTTAAAGAACAGCTCTGACAGCCCCTCCAAAGCCAACCCCCAACCTGCCCCACAAATGGACCAGGCCACCCAAGAGCCCCTCACCTGGAGGGCTAGTCCACCTCCTCTCTTGGGGATTCGAGGCCGGGGCTGTTTATTTCGTTTCATTCTGCCCAGGTATTCGGTGCAGCACTGCACACCAACCTGGCTTAATAGGGCAGCCGAGGCCCCTGGGACCTCAACACCTCAGGAGTGCCAGCTCGCTTGCTAATTGCCAACCGTCTCACCATGGTGTCTTGCAAAACGTTTCTCATCCCCCATTCCAACAGTGGCCTTAATAAGGCCCACAACTACAGTCATGGAGGTGGCCAGGACTAGAACACTTTTTACAGGAAGAGACATATAGTTGCCACGTGCAGCTGGTGTTCAATTGACTCGTTGCACGTGCAGCCGTTTACAAACCTTTTTCCCTCGGCAGGCATCAGCTGACCGAGATGAACCTTGGGAGAGGCACTGAAACTTTTCACTGGCTCCTAGTCCCTGACCAAAGGCTAGATCTAGTAGATCTAGTGATAGGACTGTGGCATGATGGGCTGGGGTATTGGGACACCTGGCTGGCCCGCTGGGAAAGTCCTGCAGAGCAACGGGGATACTCTACCCAAAGAGGTGCGGCCACAGGTTAGATTCCTAGGGCCATTACCGTGAGTCCTGTGACTGAACAGGGACAGGACAACTTGGGAGTAGTGCGTCCGGGTGCAAGGGATTCCAACCAAGGTGTGGAACTGGGGGAAGCAGCCTTGGGATTCTGGAGCCCTTAATCATCTTGATCAGCTACCCAAGAGCTATAAGAAACAGCCCGGAGGGGTGCTCTGGTGGCTCAGTCCATTGAGTGTGACTGTTGACTTTGGCTCGGGTCATGATCCCAGAGTACTGGGACTGGGCCCGGCATCAGCAACAGGCTTGAGTGTGGAGCCTGCTTAGGATCCTCTCTCCCACTCTCCCCGGCTTGCATTCACTCTCACTTCTACACCGTGCTTGCTGCGTGAACCAAGGGCCTACTTCGACTCCCACCTATTCCACTGGAATCAGGCCCTCCCGCGTCCCACCCATCTGACCTGCAAAAGAAGGGACACCAGACTGTTAGAGAAATACTGATTTTAATTCAACATAAGGTAAACTCTAGGCATCTGTCATTTTTCAGCCTAAAAATTAGCAAGACTGTTGAAACAAGGCACAATTTTCCCCCATACTTGTTACGTGGCTCCAGTTACAAAAAAAAAACTTTTTATGAAAATGTTAAAACATAAAAATAGAAGTCTGTGATTTAAAAAAAAAAGTGTATAAAAAAATTCCCACAAAACCTGTCAACGTTGTTCCTTATTCTACAAAATAGCACCAGTAAGAAGAGTAAAAGGTGTTAAAAACCATTACGACAGCATTTCTGAAATGCAGCTTTCCCGACCTCCCATTCCCCCTAAAAACAACTTCTCATGGAATACAAAAGGACTTTAAAATCTCTGGAAGGAGGGCCGAGCTTTTATTGCAGTTTCCCCCTGCAATCTCTTAGATGAGGGGAGAGTGCAGGGAATGTGCTTGTGCCCCGGCTGTCATTGCTTCTCAGTTTAGAAAAAGGCTGAGGAATTGGGGTATCCTACTTCTAATGTGGAGACCTGTGCCTGCAGAGTAGTCTGGAAGGGTGCATTTTGGGGGTGGGCAGGGATGTCTTACCTAAGCCTACTCCTTTGTTCCCTTCTAGTGGGGAAGAGGGAGATAGCGAGAAGCCATACCTGTCCGCATAACATATGGCAATTTATACCCAGCCCACCCCTTCCTGAGCTCCCCGGAGGGTTCTATTGCAGTCACTGGGAGGGATATCGCTAAGGGTGGTCCTCCCTGTGGGTCTGTTGGGGGGAAAATAGCCCTGAATGTGATGATGAGGTCATCCCTGCTGAAATCATCATCATTACAGAAAATACTCTACACGGGCCCTGACAGCGGGTCCCAGCCCTTTATACTGAGGCCAGGGGAATGTGCTAGGGAAAATTCAAGAACGACATAGACATCATCTCCTCTTCTGCTAGCCCTAGGAAGAAAAACACCCAGGGCCCTTAAAATGTCCCTTAGCTACATGTCTACCACTGCAGTCCTGGGAAACAAGGAGCCGCAGATGTTTTTTAAAAATCATAGTCTTGGGATAACTGTCTTGGGTGATTTTTCAGCATTAACCTGAGTATTGGAGGGCTGTTGGCACTGTGGTTTTGGTATCTTAGCCATTGTTTCTCTGAGCGGTAAACCCAGGAGGGGAAAAAAAAAAACCCATCTTACTACCTACTTCAAGTTTTAAAAATTTTAGAAGACAAAACGAGCACCGTGTTTGGCCACTCCTAGCAGCCAGGTCTGAATTGTGCACAAGGAGGCAGCACCTCAGGCTTTCCCTGCCAGGAGGGGGTCGCACGGCTCTGCTCCTGCCAAGGATAGGTGGCGCAACCCCACAACGCGGAGCGGAGGAAGGGCAGAGCTGAGGCTGTACCTCCTGGGTCCTGGCTCTGCCCCACATGCCCCAGTGCTCCTGGGCTCAGGGTGCCTGGGGGCTATTCACAGGCAAAGTAGTCCTTCAGGGGGGCGAAGAGGTGTCGGATGACAGGCACACTCCAGGACCTCCCAAGCAGCTTCTGGCGGGCACCACGGCCCATGTTGGACACATCCGTGTAGTGTACAGGAAAGCCGAAGATCCTGGCGGGAGGCACCAGAGTACAAAGACAGGGAGTCAGAAGCGCCCCCCTCCACCACGCTTAGCACCTCTGGAAGATCTTAAACGTGAACAGTATGGCACTGTTCTTTCTGCCCTTTATCCCATCAGGCCAACCAGGCCTGCACACGAGCCCTCTCTTGACCCCCAGAGGTCAGGCCCACCGGTTCTTCAGCACATGAGGGCAGGGTTCCTCTATGAGGATGTCTGTTTTGTGCATACCCAAGCCTTAGCACTGTGCTCCTGGCGCACAGCTGGTGCTCAGTGGACCTTTCCCATAAGAATGAGTGAATAAAATGAATGGATGGATGAGTGAATGCATGCCAAGAAAGCCAGACAGCAAGCAAAGAGACATGTATCTGCCTTCAAACCACAAGATGAGAAAAGTTAGGCAATCTCCCTAATAAGAAATAAGGACACTTCCAGAAATGGATCAGCATGTGCTCAAATAATTAACCGTGACTACATTGACTTATCCTGCATTTTCTTTCTCTCTTCAAAGCCAGTTGTTAGATCAGGGTCCAAGCTGGACGTAACGCAGGTGGCAACCAAATATACCAAGAGCTTCCTCTATGGGATTCTACCAGGCCTGGTGAGAGGCTACAGATACACTGGACCTCAGTCTTTCCTGGCTTTACAAACTAACCCCTTTAGTGTGCACACCAATGGGCCAATGGCTGAATGGGTTTGAAGAAACCTGTCAGAGATGTAACACCTTAGGCTTCTGTCTTGTTTAGCCTATAAACGACAGCCATCTGCACCAGCCCCCATATCACAGAGCCAGCCCAGCATGTTAGGTTTAGGTCTCAAAATACAGAATAACCCACGAGATGAATGGCAAGAATACCCACCAGTTTCTTTCTACAAATCAGAACTTAACTTTAAAACTAAGAAAACTATTGTTAAATCAAATTAGAAATAAAACCAGCTGTAGGACCGAACTAACTGGAATAAAAGTATTCTTATCAAATCCTGAGACACAGCCAAAAATGTAAAAAGGAATATTCATAGCCCTTCCTACATTTTGAACAATAAGGGAAAACAAAAGAAAAAAAAAATTGAAACCAGAATAGGAGAATTGAAATCCAAGAGCTAGTTTTTTGAATCAAAATAGTTTAACTACCAACTTAGCCAAGTAAATGGAAGAAGATGACAGACTGTGGCTAAGTAGGAATCAGCTTTAGAACCAACAACTTGGCCGAAGGGATCTTCTCAGAAAGACCAATGGCAAGTCAATGGGGTTTTCTTTAGCTGGTTCCTCATACATTCTGGAACCCCAACATGTTGGGGGAGGTAAATGCCAGGGCAGCACAGCCAGAACACAGAGAGATGGTGCCATCTAATGACCTCATGTTCAGATTCCTCACCACCACCACCCTTCTGTCATTTCTACCAGGAAAATCAGCACTAACTCTGAAAAGGTATTATTCCCAGCCCCAGGAACATAGGTCAGGGAGACCGTGCAGAATTAAGGCAAGCACCTGGCCATTTGTCCTGCCATCCTTAACCACGTGTTCTTCCCCTTTCTCTCTGCCTGTGGGATTTCCCTCTTCACGTGCAGCCCTGCTCACCTTTCTAGCTCAGTGCACCACAAAACATCTTCTTTGCCATTCATGACAACAGGGAAAAGTTGGTTTTTCCCCTGTCTGATCGAGTTCGACTTGGTGGTTATTGTCTGTACTTTCTTTAACTGGAGAACAAAACGACATCATGGAGTGAGCACAGAATGAAGGATTGGAGTCAAGTCAAGGCTCAAAAGCACCTAGGGAAGATGCAGGAGGGAAGGCAGGTGTGGGAGAGAGGGGGGCAGGGATGGGCTCACAGAGGGAATGAGAAAAGGAGAGCTGGAAGGGCAAGAACATTTTGTGTTTCCCACAAACACCAAGAAGTTAATGAACATGAAGGACCAGCCTCACAGAGAACAGCAGATAAACAAAACAGTGACCATGAATGAGATCACATGGGGGCCATGAAAACACCAGAGTTATTGACCAAGCAGGATTAAGCAAAAGTAAAAAAACCCACCCAGATTGTAGAGAATGGCCCACTGGGTTTTGAAGGAATGAAACTTAGCTTGATATAAACATTACATTTATGGAGGTCTTGTAATTAACTATGACTTAACAGCAGACATTTTTTTTTTTTTTTTTTTTTTTTTTTTTTTTGGCAAAGGTAGAATTACTTGTTTGTTACCAGGAGGATGAGGTGAAATAATCTGTGTCTCTATTCACAATTGGAAAGTCTAGTTGCCTTTTCTCATGGTGATTATTTGTTTATCAAGAACCTCTCCTACCGTTGTGCTTAAAGACGGGAGAGAGCAATGACATGGTGAAAGAGGCCCAGCACCAGGGAGTCATGTGGGGGGCGGGAGGGGAGGGGTGGCAGGAACAAACTGGACACCACGGTCAAGTCCTCGCTTGGAGGTCACCAAGTGTGTTTCCAGAGACCATTTGTTAGAACGTCTTACCTTTGCTGTCCTATTGAACTCCAAGCAGTCCTGCAGCTCGAGTTTATCATTCTTTGATGCTATCACGGGCCTGGGAACATCCAAAACCCATTACTTTCTACCAACTACAAAGGGGCCTCGGCTAGGCGCTCCCCAAGGTGGGAGTGAGGGCCAAAGACTGCAAAATGAGCTCTGGCAGTGAACTTGCTACAAATTCCTGATAAAAAAAAATGAGCCTCGCAAGAGCACATGACTCTGCAACAAAGCTATGGACAGACTAGCCCCTTGAAGAGGCAGCCCAATGTCCCAGAGCAAATGCTCCCCGTTTCCAAATTTTAATATTAGGCAGAGCTCTCCCCTGAGAGCAGGATGAGGGAAAGCACACTGGAAAAGGTCAGGAAACCCTTCCAGTCCAGCCCCAACTGAGTGACCTTGAGCAAGTTAGGCCCCCTCTCTGGGCTTCATCAGGAACTTGGGTTAGGTCTTTGTGGGTCTACTCGTTACAACTAGCACATCAAACCCATGATTTGGTGGCTTACACTAGGGGGTGGATGGGGCCTCCAGAAGCTTTCATGGCTAAAAGGAAGTACAAGTAAGAGAGACAGGAGGTGGGTTCACAATACTACCAATCACTCTTTTAACTTTTACCATTGAAACCTGCAAATGGAGAAAGGCAGACAGATGTCTGAGAAGGGGAAGGGCTAGAAATTGAGGAATTGAGGAACCAAGGGGTTCAGCAGTTCCAGAGCAGAAAACCAGCAGAAGGTCTGAATGCACAGAGTTCACGAACACCACAGCAACCCCTGTGTTAGGAACTTCAAGGCCAAAAGGCAATCAGATGTAAGAATGAATATGGTGCCCATAGGAGGGGCCTCTGAATCACACAAAACATTCCCCTAGATTCTGTCAGAGATTCCCTTGACCTCACCTTCCAAGCTTCAAAATGCCTGCCTACCCGAATCTTGAGTCTTCCATGAACCCAAGGGAGTGAAGGCAGCTTGGACTCTACACAACCAAGGTGTGTAGACTAATGGCTGGGTTTGGGTCTGTGATCACCAGGTGACGGCTGGGTCACCCCTCCTACAGCCCTGCACAGCACAGCTGTAGCCATTCAGTTCTCACAATTGGGCAGAAAGCTGTGGAGACTGCAGACTCCTTTCATCTGATACCCTACGCCCAATGGGTCGGCAAATTCTGTTAGTCCTACCCTCACATTACCCACAATCTGATCCATCCGTCCTGCCGAATTCCACAGGACTCCACCACCACCCCCCACCCAGAGCCATACTCGCATTGTGTTGAGTATGTATGGGTGGTGCCTCCTGGGGCCCTCCTCTGAACACCCACCCTCACTGGTCTCCCCATTGCTGCCCTCATCCTGCTATTGTCTATCCTTCTATGAGCAAGTACCATGAACATGAGATCCAACTCTCACCTGCTTAAAACGGTTCACGAATTTCTATGCGATGACCCAGAAGGGCCACATAACTTGGCCCATACTTCTGAGTCCTTTGCCTTACTGCCCCAGCCACTCTGGCCCCTGGAACAGTTCTTGAGCCGGTCTTCCAATGCATTCTTCAACATCGCCCCTTCCCCTATTCCTTCTTCCCGGAATGTTTGTCTTTCCCTCTAATAGCCGCGTGGCTCTATTCTTTCATTTAACGCCCTGCCGGAAGGAGAAGCGTCCCCACTGGTTCCTACGATGCCCCCACCTCCAGCCATGACTGCAAAATTATTTACTGTCTTCTCTACCCATCTGCCATGAGCATGTCAACTCCATAAGAGCTGCGACTGACATCTAATGTGCATACCACTAAGCTGGCAGCACATACAGCAGTGGCTGGCACAGAGGGCTCAAGTGTTGAGTGAAAGAGCCCACTTCAGGGGTGCCTGGGTGGCTCAGTCGGTTTCGGTTAAGTGTCCGACTTCGGCTCAGGTCATGATCTCGCGGTTCGTGAGTTCAAGCCCCGCGTCGGGCTCTGTGCTCCAGCTCGGAGCTCCGTGCTCTGTGCTCCAGCTCGGAACCTGGAGCCTATTTCAGATTCTGTGTCTCCCTCTCTCTCTCTGACCCTCCCCCGTTCATGCTCTGTCTCTGTCTCAAAAATAAATAAACGTTAAAAAAAAAAAAAGAAAGAAAAAGCCCACTTCATCCAGACATGGACATTTTCCATTTCACTGGCTGATCAGCCAAATAAAAACACAGCCTACCCAACAGAAATCCTACAAGCTATTCCAGCACCTTCTCCCCTCTGTTCACACTTTGCTAAATGCCTGAAAGTTATTATGCTTTCAGTCCTTCTTTCTAAAGGAGAAATTTCTTTAAGCTCAACTCATTTGCAAGTCTGGGATGTCACATTAAACATCACATCGTGTATCTTAATCAGCAGGTTGTTCTCCTGGAAACCACATATAGGAGATAACGAATCCTCAGCAATGCCGTTTACTTTGTGGCTTTGAACATGAAAAGATTGATAAAAAGTTGTGAAAACTCTTGATTAAGAAAATCCAAGGGAGACAGGTTAGCACAGTTCTGCCACCTGGCTGGTCACCACAGGCCTCATCCAGGGATCACTTCATCTAACAATTTACTTTTATTTCTCAATTGGATACCAACTGGAGAACAGGTGGGGCATTAGCACTCTGCTCTATCCCAGCTCCAGGCACTTTTAAGAACCTGCCCCATAGGCAGAGTGGTAACAAGTCAGAGAAGACTAAGGAATCCTGGCCTCCGATTTCCATGTAGTTGCTGTACTTCCCAACAGGCATCAACCACAACACCAGTCTGAATCCCAGCTGGGGCCATTTCTCAGCAGATTTAGTGCTTTCTAGAAGGTTTGAATGATTCTCTGGGTCACAAGACTTCACAGTTAGGGCTCACACCATTAGTTACAATTAACTCGGCCGTTACCTGACCCAGCATGAGCCCCTTGTTACCTGTTCATTCCAGGCAGGTTGCCCCAGAAGTAGCGGGCCCTGTGAGCAGCAGACACTTTGATGGCATCGATCATCACTGGGTTACACTGCAGAGAGAAGGGCAGCAGCTGGGAGCTCATGTCAGTATTCAGGTGTAAGCCAGGGTGGGGCTTGACCGGGGCAGGTGACAGGGCAGCCTCTGCTACAGAAGAGGCATGGTTCCCCTCAGCAAGAGGAAAGACCAATTCCCATCAAGAATCTAGCTGGGTGCGCCTGGGTGGTTCAGTCTATTAAAAGTCTGACTCTTGATTTCAGCTCAGGTCTTGATCTCACAGTTGTGGGATCGAGCCCCGCATCAGGCTCCATGCTGATAGCATGGAGTCTGCTTGGGATTCCTTCTCTCCCCCTCTCCGTCCCTCCCCTGCTCGTGCTCTCTCTCTCTCAAGATAAATAAACTTTAAAAAAATGGTAAGAATCTGGCTGGAAGACAGAAGTGCCCAGATATTAATGGTGGCAAGAGACACCCGACCGGACCTGCAGGTTCTAAGAGAGGATATACCCTCGGACAAGCCAGATAATTACAGAATGTGCTATATGTACAGGGAGTAAAAGTAGCTCAAATTGAAATCTGTCAAGTTGGAAGGTGGGTGCAGGAATATAGTTGGCAAAATATGGCTTCCGTCGGCCCTCTGCCAGGTTCACACACCATGAGGGAACTAAGGAGCCAGTTCAATAACCTCTCTAGCTGACTACAAGCTATAAAGTTTCGGAGGAAAGGAATTAAATGCATAAAAAGCATTTACTATAATGCTTGATGATATTGTGTCAATGAACTGCTGGCAGCCCCTTAAAACAGCAGTTCTCAGAACAGGGAGGAGAAAAATGACCCCAGAGTGAAAAACAAAAGTTTAGTCAAATCCCCTGAGGCCTCCATAAGTAGGGAGATGAGGATTTCATCATCAGACTTCAGGGGGATTCAGGGTGAGGTCGAGATCAAATTGTCTTCCATGTACTAAAAAGAATCAACCCACCTGACTCCATTAGTTTTAGATTTTTGGATTTAGCCATGTCCTCCATCTAGAACCCAAAGTCATTCCCCAAAGCGGAAACACCCAACCACCCCCAATGCCAGCAGGACTCACCCACCCATGCACTCTGGATACTCAGGACCCCAGGTCCCTTACCTCTAGGAAACGAGAGATATCCCTCTTGTCACCGACCTTCATGGCTACCACGTTCTCAAACATCCAGAAGAAGGGCCGGTCGTCACCCTCCTTGGGGCGTGTGTAATTCAGCAGGTGGTAGAACTCAAAGAAGAGCCGGCCGGTGCCCTCTGAGCCCACAAAACAAGATAGCAGAGCCAGGTTCAAATCCTTCAGCCCACCCCTCCATAGTGAGACCAGTGGGTTCCCCAGGGATCACCTGACTACAGCTGATACCCTACAGTCTTCCTACCTGCAGTCTTTTGGAATGACTAAGGACATGGGCATCAGCAGTGCAGTATTTACTGGTATCTCTGGGGGACAGGATTTACTATGGACAAGGAAAGAGCCAAGAGGTAAGGTTGGCCAGAAACAAATAGTTCTTTCTTAGACCACTCCTCCTGGACCAGCACTCAGGTGACATAGGGTCAGCTGGGATACTCACCGTACAGGCCTTTCCTGGCTGGGTTCACATTTGAGAGATCATTGCATGGGCTTCCACCAATCACCAAGTCAAAGGGGCCCCATTCTTCAATCTGTGAAAGAAAAACACTCTTAGGGGAGGGATGGAGGTGATGATGGAAGGATGCAGCCTAGGTTCCAAGCAACTATCAAGAAAACCCATTTTTTTTTAGTTTATTTATTTTGAGAAAGACAGGAAAGGGCAGAGAGAAAGAAATAAAGACAGAATTCTAAGCAGATTCCCTGCTGTCAGCACAGACCTGATTTGGGACTCGAACTCATAAACCATGAGATCATGATGTGAGCCACGATCAAGAGTCAGATGCTTAACTGACAGCATCACCCAGGTGCCCTGAGAAAACCCACTTCTAGGGGCACCAGGCTGGTTCAATCAGTGG